ATGTGCCTGAAACTTTAAGAGATTCATAACAACATTCACAAATTCAAAGATTCCCAATCAACTAGGTTGCTCCACAATTTCAGTAACAATTTTAGCGACAAAATGTTGACTTAAAATAGTTGATTTACTTATATCATTGGTTCTTGAAACTTAAGCATCCTAATGGTAAGCATATCATAACTGGACATGAATAGAATTGAATTTTATAAACATAAAGTCACTGCAGACATTTTATCCACAGATAATTAGGAATAAGTCTCCATCTCCACCTCTTTCACAGATTTTGAGATAAATAGTAATATTTTGGCCACTGAAAAGAGGGGATGGGAATTGTTTACATGTACTTAAAGCTGCAGTACAAGACTTTTATAAATATTTTTTTACATATTTGTTAAAGGTTGTGACAGTATTGATGGTATGAAACAGATAATCTGTGGAAAAAATCAAGCTCCTCTGCCTTCTTCCTGTGCTAACTAGAAACAACCAATCAGAGTCAGGAGGCGGGTCTTAGAGCTGTCAATCACAATCTAGTGTGTTGCTCCCCTTTGCTCTCTGCTATGTTGCAGCTAGCATAGCATGTTGTGAAAGCTAAGGCTGGTCAGCATAAACTGTTTTCCCGTAATGGGAAGTTGTTTCTCCGACATATAATAAATAAAATATATCACTCAGTGAGAAATTATCAAATCAAATTGAGTAATTTCAATAAATTAGGTGTTCAAATACATCATAATTTATTGAGAAAAACATCAACTATTAATGCAAATAAATATGAAACAGATCTAAGTTGAACGTGTTTGCTGGTATTGCTGAACATGAATTTAAGAATTCATGTTTTATGCAGTTTTTATTTTGATGAACATACAGCAAAGCCATTATTATATATTTATGTTGAAAAAAGACAGTGTTTGCCTTTTGAGGATGTATTTCAGATCTTCCTTAATCTCGTTCTGTGCTGTTTGTTTTGTTAGAAACTATAATCATAAGGGCTTTGCCTGTAATAACTGAAAGTGACATAAGGCATCAGTCTGGAAACACTAAATCAAAGGTCTGTAAGAAAACAAATATACTGCTTTTTTTGTCTTTCATACATTTTACATGTAGTTTTTTTCTGCTACAAATCAATCTATATATCTGTAGCAGCTGAAAATATCATATCTCTTGAGAATAAGTTTTAAAGTAATATTTTTACCAACATGTTTCTTCTGACTGGAAGTAGTTTTTTTGAGTTGCTCAGCCAACGTCCCTAAAGATTAGGGTGATGGTGAAGAGGTTTTCCAACCTCAAAGACTTAATGGTCGCCAACAGAAAAGGTGAAAATACCAGTGAATATTTAACATTTGTTGTAGCAATTATAAAAAATATTTGATGGCTGTTTTAATAATCCCTGCTTGTTAGAAAGGATTTGAATGTTTTTCTTAAATAAATGTGAATTAAATCAGATTTCTATTTTGCCATTGATACCATTGTGTTTCATTTTTAGATAAGATCACTTCGTAATTGGACACCGCACTTCAATTTGGTATATTGTCTACTATCTGTCAAAGCTTCGAATGTTAATTTTAGTAAGAGTAATCCAGCTTCACTCATATTTCCCTCTCGATGTGTAATCGATAAATGGCTCTGCATCCAACACTTTTTGAAGTCATGACTTTACCCTCTAAAGGTCAAATACACACTCACAGAAACCAGCAGATGAAAGTCCCTATAACAATGTAAATACATAACATTCATAGTGCATAACATGGTATATTCTTCAAAAAAGGCTATAAAAATGAAGATCTGAGCCAAAAAAAAGGGCCTTTCTCTTCACACCAATGGCCACTAGTATTCCCTGTGGTACGGTGCATGCAGATCGCATAGCAACAAAGCCTTATGCCTGGCTATTGTCTGTTACTGTTGCTTGAATGCCCCTTAGACAGGCATGTGTGCGCGTGCACAGGGCTCACGTGCGACACCGTCACTAACACCTCATCCCGATATCTGCTCCCTCTATCCCGTGTGCGCAGGCCGCAGCCAGGCCCCCTCCCCTCTCAACGCCACCATATTTCCATAACATTCATGGGTCATCCATTCCCCTCCCTCTCTGCCACCCCCACTTCCCTGCCTGACAACACCACCGCCCGCCATCCCATAATACTATCGCGCACCCGCGCGCGCACACACAGCAGCGCATTCAGCCCTTTGTTGGCAGGGATGCCTGAGCAATGCGAGCGTGCTCATGCACAGCGATCGTGTGTACGCCTCAGATAATTTCTGCGTCTGCACTCAAACTGCTGAGGCAGGTGGGCCTCCAGTAATGCAGGAGCTAAAGGTGAGAGGTCACGTTTCGAGGGGGAATATGCCTGTGAAGTCCAGAGACACCCTGAGGCAGCCGTCCTGAATGAGGTCAATCATCCCCTCCATGCAACCATGAGGGCATGGAGGAAGATCAGTTTAGATGTGCCCCATCTATCCAACAGACACTCTCAAAGTCCACTGCTTCTTTCTTTAATAGGAGGAAATGCAAGTCATCTCCATGTACATGTCATGGATGAAGCTTTAACAAGCGTCTCTTGGCTGCCGTCAATCACCACCAGACCATGATAAAACGCCTACAAAGTGGGGTAACGATAAAGATAAAAAAAATAAAAAAAAAGAGGGCAAGTTATTTACGAGAGAGGGGGTGAAGAGAAGAGCTTAACAGAGGCGCTGGACGTGACGGTGGCCAAGCTCATCACCATGGTGTTGCTGTGGGAGACAACAGAGGACGTCACTTGGAGAAACGGGGCACACAAAGGAGGAATACGACATGAGGACGACCGAAAGAAGGAGGCAAGAAGTCGCCCGTCTGAGCAGACATAGACGGAAGAGAGCGAGCGGAGAAATTTGGGAGAATGAGAAAGTGCGCAGACGGATCTGTCAGGAGGACGTCTGCGGTGACGTTTTGAGTTTTTCAGCAGCAAAACACACAAAAAAACCCAACAGGAATATACAGTTTAATTATGTTTGAATCACCAAGTTTAGCTGTTGTGAATTTCATCTGAAAAGTTAATTATAAATATAGTATGTAACAAATGCGAACACATTATAACCATTGACAAAGTTCTAACTACCAAAATGTAAATTCAAAGATTTGTGCTGACTGTGAGGAAAAAGTTTTATCAAACTGTATTGATTTTTGTAATTGTTTCTTTCTTATGAAGGAGCAGCAAAAGCTAAAAACATGTTTTGCGGCAAAAAAAAAAACTAATAATGTGCCCACACATTGATTTACATTAATGTTTACAATCTTTAATCTAATTTTAATATAATGAAAAGATTACCTGAGTAAATACAAAATGTGACTTTCAAATAATGATTTAATTCATGAGAAAAAGCATTTGCAGTCACAGGAAGTTTGGCCCAATCTTTGTAAAATTGTTTTAATTCAGCCACATTAGGGAACTTTGTGTCAAAAGTCAGTTTAAGGGACATAATCTCCACCTAGTTTAAGTAGAAACTTTGACTATGCCGCTTCCAAATCTTCACTTATACAGAATGTTTGTAAAGGTCAGAAACTGATTATTGGACATTTTCCTTCAGGATTTTTTTTAGGAGAGAGAAAGTTGTGGTCCCATCAGTTACAGCAAGATAAAGCAGATAAATCAGCCCCAGATCATCATACTGCCACCACCATGTTTTATTGTCACTATAATGATATTTTCTATAGATAATCATAAACATTGACTTTCACTGAGGCAAGTGCCATTCATGGTTTGATCACAGTTTTTTAGAGCCGGTTTAGTTTGAACAGCTTTTTCCCTAAATAAATTAAATAATAATTTAGAAATTATATTTTGCATTTACTCATGTTTACTCAAAACCATACAAAACTGTTAGTTCACACTGCAGCTATGCTATCTAAACATAAGCAATTAAAACTGTAATTAAGTGAGGGTAGTAAGAGGCTTTTTATTGTCATAAAATGTGTCATAAATCTGGGTGTATTTTTCAAACAGGGGCACAGATAAGACCTCTGAATCCCAGCAATGTCAACAATATCCTGTGAGAATTATTCTGTCATCAGAAGCGTCTGTTTTATTACCTCCTTATTTATGAACATCCCAGTCTGAGCAAACAGGTCGAGACAGACGGAGGGGAAACTACTGCATAAATTTTAAGGAAGTGCAGCTACACCGACTGCTGAAGTTCAAATATTTGTAAACGATAAAAAAGAAGTTACCAATGCATTGTCTTAAAAGGATAAGACAGGATATTTGATTCCACTAAGATGTTTTTATTTTCAGATTTGTGACAAACTCACTTTGTTATTTTTTGTCACTTTCTCCACTGCCGGTGTGACGATCTGTGCTCTCCTCATGCCCTCGCTCCCTACTATCTTGTGATTTATTTGCCTCAGTTCCAATATTTGTCGGCAGTGTGTTTTCCTCCCCTTGTCTAAATGTCACCCCTTCTTCTAAGACAATATAGGGAGTGGGAGAGAAGGAGAACCAGGGGGCAGATGTGGGGAACATGGAGGAAGAGGAGGGGGAAACTCGTAAAATGAGCAACAAAGTTTGGGAAAATTAAACATTAGGTAAGACACTTTCTCACATGCAAACATGTACTGTATAAAAATACAAAATGCTATTTTCTGATCAGAGGAGTTTGGAGGGAAATGAAATAAAAATCAAACAGCTCCGTTCTAGTTGAGTGTTTCTCTGGATCAGACAAACATGCAAGGATGCTGAAAGAAACTCTGCATGAAATTCACATATAGTCCTATATTAGAGGGATTTTGTCAATCTGCCTTAGATTTAGGCCCAGATTCCAGGTCTCCTGACATGCAAGTGGAATATTTTACAACTTTAATAGTTACAATCATCACATTTTTCAAAACCTTCCTCCTCCTCTCTGCATCACTCCACACCCTGGATCACGCCAGCCCTCCCTCTCCCACCCGTACTGTCTTCCTCCTTTAAAACCAATCACTCCCATCGGCTTTGCTCTCACACATCACTGCTGTCTCAACTTAGCATGCACACATTTGTTTTCATGGGACAACACAGACAAACCAAATTAAAAATGGCACTTTTTTGTTTAAAGTCTTCCTTTGAATGAAAAAAATAACCTGCAGTTATTCATCAAGACCTTGTGGATTACATTTTTTTCCTCCTTATTCAAGGTAAATTTTTCTAACTTGAAATTTTAACTGGGACATGTGGACACATTCCCATTTTTCTAAAGATGAGTTTGCAGTTTCTGGAACAACCTTGTAAGTATTTTTGTTTGCTGACTTTAGAAAAGCCACACAAAATATTTGCAGAATTGAATTGCAGATATGATAACTTTCAAAAGTTGATTTTGGCTGCACAAAATTAGCAAATTTATTTTTATATTTCTTAAATCTTCTGACTGAACTGGAATTAATTTTCAGTCACAATTTATCAATCTCTAATTTTAGTTTCAGTCTAGTTTGAGTCTAGTAAGTCTGAAAAGATTTTAGTTTTGATAGTAGTTTTGATTTAGTTCTTTGGACACTTTATGGTCACACACTTGTATTGTTTTATCATTTCAAAGAAAGTCGCTATTGAAATAAAGTTTCCAGTGAGTCAAATTTACTGTGATTGTATTTTATTTTTAACATTTTTCATAGGAAATATTGGTCAGTTTCATTATAATTCAAATGCTTCATGACTTTTTAACAATTTTTTGCAAAAATAAAAAGTAATTCAAGTTTTCTATTTAGTTTCCATCCAGTGTTCCTTGCAAATATTTTTCAACAATAAAATAAACAACTTGAAATTACAAACGTTCATATTTCAGCATAAAAAATAAATGCTCACATTGTTTTTCAGCCACAATATAGTTTGAAAAGTGATGAGATTCATCGACAACAGAGGTGAATTTATACAACTAAAAGAACTAGCCAGACATTCGTTGTAGCTGAGGATAACCAAAATAAAAGTGTATTAGTCTCAAATAGATTGTTATTTATCTGAATTTTTCAAATAGACTCACTTTATCTGCTCCTGTCTTTACAAAATATAAGATCTTCACAATACTTAACATGTTTTTTTATTGTATATCTCCTTTTAGGTGTAAGTACATACACTTACCTACTGTTTTGCCAATATTTTTTCATAATTTTTTACACATTTTTCTGATTTGCACATTTATTCCACATAACACAGTGGCTTCTATTTACCATTATATGCAGATTATAGATTAAGCAAAGAACACTTAAATACAGATGACCCTCTCTTTGAGATAATCTACCACTAGATTTTCAATCTACTAGTGAAATCCATTTTTTAAAACTCTTTTAAAACAATATGAATTTCAAATGATGATGTGAAACTCTTCATATTCCTGCCGTTATGAATTTTAAAAATGTCAGAGGAAATTGTGTTATCAGACTTTAGGGTTTTGTCCAGCACAGCTTTGTTTGTTTTTTTGTTTGTTTTTTGTTTTTAATGTTTTTATGCGCAAATAAAACAAAAATATGATAGTAATGAGCACCAGTATACAGTGTTTGCTATTTAGGAACAGAAAAATTACATATAGCAATAAATAAATATATACCAATCACTGCATCCTACAGTTTGATTATCTTTTATGATAGAAAAGTCATTAATTTCTCACTTTTCTGAGCAGACATGCAGGGCTCATCCCCTGACTCGGGATCAGAACCGTAAACCCTCACTACCACACAGACAGGACAGAGCACTTCCACGGTGGAGCCGGACAGCCTTCTGTCCAACGACCCAGCCTGAAGCACGGAGACGGACAGACGGACAGACAGTCTGATGCCAACTGTCTCACCTGTCAATCTCTCGGCACCACTCCTCCTCCTGCTGCTGCTGCTGCTGCTGCTGCTATGCACCACCCACACCACCATGGCAACCAACTGGCTGTAAGTGTAACATGAACTGGGAGGAATGGAAAGAAAGAGTTTGTTTGTCATGCTATAACTTTTAAAAGATGGTGACATGTCTCTAAATCTCTTTCAGGAGCTCCCCTCTCTTTCTTTGTCTCTCTCAGTTGGTGACCTTTTCTCTTTTCTCTCTCTCTCTGCCGTCATCTCTGTCCACTCTGCCTCTCCTGTTTTTAGCTTAACCCCCTCCATCTTCCCTGTCTGCAACTCACACCTGTGGGGAATCACATCCACATTCACCACCTTTGTGTTGCAGCTCCCTGGCGAGGCTGCCTCGCTCCAGAGCCGTGTCTGGTGCCGCTCCATGTGCCCGGCTGAGGGGGCTGACCCCGGGGCAGGTGGGGGTGTGCAGGGCAAGAGGGGAGGTCATGGAGTCTGTACGCAAAGCAGCAGAAATGGTCATAGAAGAGGTATTACAGCAGAGATTAGAGACATCAGGCAGCTTGTGAGAAATTCACTCTGTCGCTTTGTCTCAGTGTCAGCATCAGTTCAGGAATCGCCGCTGGAACTGCTCCACCACGCCACGTGGGATCAACGTGTTTGGAAGAGTCATGAATCAAGGTTCGTCCCTCGCTGAGATGACACAGAGCAACAGGCGTTTACTGAGTTTTAAAACATACGATCCTTGTTCCTTTTTCTTCTCTTGTGTTGCTGCTGTGCTGCCAGGCACTCGTGAGGCAGCGTTTGTGCACGCTCTGTCTTCAGCAGCAGTGGCGGTGGCCGTGACCCGAGCCTGCACCCGTGGGGAGCTGGAGAGGTGTGGCTGCGACAGGAAGGTCAGAGGCGTCAGCCCTGAAGGTGAGCTTGATCTCTGTTGGAAAATATCTCCACTTTGAGTCACATAAAGCATCAAACAGCACAGGAGCTGCTGGTTCTATTCTTAATTTTAACAGTTTGATCTCTCATCATCCAACGTCCACTGGTTACATTTACTTGAGCTACTTTTGACTTTTTCTTGATTCATTTTATTATGAAGTATTGTCATACTTACTTAAGTAATATTTAAGGTAATAAGATAACATAATTATAAATTATTGATCCCCTGAAAGGGTGGTGGGATTTTGTTTGTCCCAGCAAAGTACACAATAAAAATTTAAACAAATACATAAAGTAATGAGAATAAACATCCAACAATAATAAATAACAATGAGCAATAAATTTGTGGATTCTCTATGCACTGGCAGAAGAACAAACATGTTTCGAATAAAAAAATTACCAGATGCAAACACACACTGCAGTTTTTGTTTCAAAAGATTATTAGTAAAAGAAACCAATCTTATTTTTTGTTACTTACATGAATTATTGTAATTTTGGTCCTTAAAATACCAAAATCCATCTTTTTATGTAACTTTTACATATTGTAAATATTATACTGCTGTATGATGTTCAGCAGGTTTAGGGATACATTTTTAGAGCTGCTTTCTCAAAACTCCAATTTTCCAAGTGCCAGCATTCTTATTTCTGTCTTATTTGTTTATTTTTTTGGTTTTCATATGTTTGACATCACTAGAAAGCGTAGAACCCACACTCTAAGAATCTGTAAAAACATTCCTGGAAAGACTTGTCCATGGTCTTGTCTTCCCGCCAGGCTTCCAGTGGTCAGGGTGCAGTGACAACCTGTCCTATGGCGTGGCGTTTTCTCAAGCCTTTGTGGATGAACCTGAGCGGGCCAAGGGACTGTCAGCGGGACGCCCCCTCATGAACCTCCACAACAACGAGGCCGGTCGAAAGGTTCGCAGTGTTGAAGTCCATTTTAACTCCCCATTTTGATAGTTAATGGTTCTCCAAGTAAGACTTTACATACTCTGATCCACAGGCCATCCTGCACAACATGCAGGTGGAGTGTAAATGTCATGGTGTCTCTGGCTCCTGTGAGTTAAAAACCTGCTGGAAAGTCATGCCCCCATTCAGACGTGTTGGTGTTGTACTCAAGGAACGCTTTGATGGAGCCACAGAGGTATCAGAACATTATTTCTGCTCATGTTTTTGTAGCTTGACACACAAAAACCTTGTATTTCAGCATTAAGATCTGATTTAGTTTAAATATTGGCAAAATATTTAAATCTTCTGCCGTCTAACACGACAGAAGGTAAGGTATTTGTGAGGTAGAAGGATCTTGGAGTGAAGAAATTTACAACCTGTCCCACTATTATTGTTCGTTTATTGTTAAAATCTGAGCACCACTAGAAACAGTATTATTTTTTTTGTCATCCTGAAAGGTGAATTCAACCAAACAGTGATATGTGCTGCTGAACCGCCATCTTGGTAGGCAAGCACAAATACGAACTGTGACTTCTAGACTAAAAAAAAGAAAACATCGAGACTTTTGACCAATATCCAAAAGAGAGACCTATAGAGAAAGCTGTTGGGATCGACCCACACGAGACAGAGAATGTGGCTTGTTTATTGCTGTCGTAGCAACTCCATCGCAACCGTCATGACAGTTAGTGATAGATACTGTACCTACCAAGATGGCCGTCAGCTACAAAGTTCCAGGAACTCTGATGTTACATGAGAACTACGCATTTGGAAAGAAATAATGAGCATTGTTGTACTTCAGCTTCAACACTGCAAGACAACGATGTGTGTGGACATTTATTTATGTTAAAGTAAATAAAAATGTAAAAAAAATAATAATTGACCCTTGTTCTTCTAGGTCCGATTGACTCGTATTGGGTCCAGGCCAGCTTTGCTCCCTCGTGACCCCTACGTCAAGCCCCCTGCTGCCAGAGACCTGGTGTATGTGGCTCCCTCCCCAGATTTCTGCCACCTCGACCCAGACAACGGCATCCCAGGGACTGCTGGAAGAAGATGCAACGGTAAATCCCAGAAACAATTCAAGTTGTGAAGCTTCAGTTCACGGCATCACACCGGGTGCTATGGCTGAAAAGCGTGTCACAATTTTAAACGGTCGATATTGATAATTATTGATTAGTATTTTATTTTAAATATCAGAAATATTGCCAAACTCTTGGCATGTTCTTCCGCGTTTCATCCAGTTTTCTTTCCATGTCGTTCTTGACTTTTAAGCAGTCATGATGAGGCAGAGTGGTGGTTCTGAATCAAGAGTTCAGTGAATATTTTCTATTTTGAATATTGACGATTCTATCAGACATATTATCAATGGATATTGATCACATGTCATCTCGATATACAGTTGAAATCATAACTTTTCATACACCATAAGTATTTTTTTTCATGCCGTCTGATGTAATATCAGAATAAGCTTTTATCAATTCTTTTTCTATTTTCAATAATAAGAAAGAGAATACTCAAAGGCAATTTTTATTACTTTCTTCAAAGTCAAAAATTTAAGTACACTTTATAAATATTTGGTACCATTGATGGCCGTTAAACTATACGACTTGGGTCAAACGTTTTGGCTGTCCTCTCACAAGCTTTTCACGATAGTTGGCAGGAATTTTGGTCCATATATCTTGCCAGAACTGGTGTAACGGAGCCACCGCAGAACGCAATGAATATCACCTTTAAAAATTCTCCCTCATTATTCTGGCATTTAGCAAATAGAATAAAACTTGTAATCCCAATTGACTTAAAACTGGAAATGTTTTCGTTGATTTCATGTCAGACAGTGAAAAAAATGCATGCAGTGAATGTAAACAACTGTATCTTGTTATTCATTTATTGTCCAGCCCCATTAAAAACTAACATGGCTGTTATTTTTAAAATCCTCCTCAGGAACGTCCCGGCTGGCTCCAGACGGCTGTGAGCTGGTGTGCTGTGGGCCCGGCTACAGAGCGGGCCGGGCCGAGGTGGTGCAGCGCTGCTCCTGCAAGTTTTCTTGGTGCTGCTCAGTCCGCTGCCAGCAGTGCAAGAATACAGTCACTATTCACACCTGCAGGGTTTGAAACGGCTCAAACAAAAGCAGACTGAAGTCAATTCAGACCCAAATAATCCAGCAGAGACACGCTGCAGAATAAATACAACAGCTTTCACACCAAACAACATTACATGCTTCCTAATAACAGTCTCATTTCAAATATTTATCTGAACCTTCTGGCACTTCTAATTTGAAAGCTGCAGCAAACAAATCTTTAATTATGAGAGTTTTGTGGAACAACATTGTTCTCCTCTTCCAAAACTGCAGAGGACAGATTCACCACAGCACCCTAAACCTTCACTTGACAAAGCTTTTAAAGCTGAAAATAACTAAAACTAACAGAAACATTGCAGCGGTGTTTTTCATGCTTATACATTATGTCTTAGACTAGCAGGTCTTTGAACGTGTTCTGTATTTATGTTTCCTTTTTTGTTCCTGATTTATTTATTTTTTACAGTTGTGTTCAAAGTAACTGCAGTCTAAGAACACTAACCAGATCAAACAATGGTTTTTAAAAATTATATTTTTATGTAGTAGCTGTAGTACCGTAACAAAAACCGAACAGAGCCCACAGTCCAGACATGTCGCTTACCGTTTCTGTGTAATTAATTCAAATGGACATGTTCAAAATAAAACATGGTCATGGAGCTTTCCTGTCAAATCTGAGTGGAATAGTCAGAAGAACACCATGGTGTGAATAGAAAGTTGATTTAACAATGGAAAAATAATAATACATTTTCATTTTGATGAGGTTAATTGACAGCGATAAGACCCGCCTCCTGGTTCTGATTGGTTGTTACTAGTGAGCACTGGGGAAGCCAGAGAGGTTAATTATTCTTCACAGATTATCTGTTTTACATTAAACTGTTATAACATAGTGATAATGTCAACAAATATGTGAGAAAAAATTTTACACTGCAGCTTTAAAAAGTGGTCAGCCTAACGTCTGTACAGTACAATGGAAAACTGGAAATGTATTGCATTTCGACACCAAAATACAAAGAGAACGTGGTGTATGAATCAAATTATCCTGGAATACGCGGAAAAGTTTGATGAAAGTTGGTAGAATCCACCCAACACAGATTTATCAAAAAAATTGGCTTTTATGACTTACCCATAATTTCAGTAACTAACAGGAAAGCTCAATCTACATATTTCTAGGTTTACACAGTAAATGAGAAGTTCTTTTATTGAACTTCCATATTCTCTTTTTATCAATATATTTATAGACCGAGAACAAATTGGATCAATTTCTCTTCATGTTGTTCTGAATAGAATGGGCCACATTTCCGACGCTTTTGCATTGAGGGAATAAACGCTTTTAAAAATATTCAGAGTTTTATTTTACTCTTTTCCCACACAAGATATTATTTTGAACACAACTGTGTATCAGAGTCTTTCCTTCAATTCATTCTCCAGCAGCAAGAATAGCTTCTGCTTGCCTCAGTGTCTGTAATACTGCATGTAAAACATTTCTGTTCACTCCAGCACATCAGGTCTGTCCAAGACATCTAACAAAAATACAGTAGTTTACCTGAAACACAAACCTGTTTACTGCTTCAGTTTTTTTCCATGGTTGCAAAATGAAGCAGTACTGAATGTACTTCTACCTGACCACTTGTCCCAATCAGTTCCCGGTTTAAAAGCGAGAACCACAACTGTTTTCGAGTAAAGTTAAAAAAAAATAAAAACATAACCTCAATTAATTTGATCATTTCCTTGTCAAAAATCCCTCTGCCAACTTGGATTGAAGTCTGCAACCTCGGTTGGGACTCAGAGCTGGGAATTTGTTCAGATTTGTAGAACTCTCTTTATGGGTTTAATTTTAAATCTCTGCAGCTGGTTTTGGGTTTTTTTATTGGACCACATGTATTAGCTGGATCTTTAAGTGCAACAGCGGTGCCACTGCCTTTTTACCCGCATCTACCAAAAACTAAAGTTCTGCATTACAACTGAGGAGCAGATCGAATTAACGCTGACCTGTCATGTTTACTAAAAGTGCATTCAAAGGGAAAAGCTGTTTTTAAAGATGATATTCTACAAAGTAACTTTCACATAGATGCAGTCGATTCATACACACAAAAATCACAGGAAACGGGAAGTAAACATCACACGCTCCCTCGAATGCAGGATCCCCATGGTGACACATGGTGGTGGCGACATCATCTTGTGTGGATGGGTTTTTTTTTGGGGGGGGGGGGGGGAAAGAAGATGTCAGTAAATACAGGCCAATGCTGAAAGGACTTAAAAATATTTCAGGGAAATAACTTACAAGATCCAGTGATGAAAAAGAGCATTACGATGTGTTAGGGTGGCATATTTAAAGTCTGTTTTTGGGATATCCATGGAAATAGGCTGAGCTTGAGGCAGAAAAAGCAAAAACTATGTCTGAAGAAAAATCCCAAAAGACCTGCAGATGTGATTCCAACAAAATTATTCTTTGGAAAGTGTTGACTAATATGACGGTGGAAACAATTGTCACATGATTCTAATTATTTTTAAGATGTCTGCAAAATCATGCAAATTTTTCCTTTCCCTTCACAATAATGCTCTATTATTTTCATCTGCTGCTTAAAATTTCAATAAAATGCTTTGAGGTTTGAAGCTGTGATGCGACAAAATCCAAAAAAGTTCATTTAAAAGTGCTCTGTACTCACGCAATTAATTTGACACACAAAACAGAACTCCTTTTCACTTTTGATTAAAAAAAAGGATTTTATTAAAAATATTCTCTGATTTCTTAAACCCTGAACATTTCTAAAAAGATTCATCATCTAATATCAAGGCTGAGTTTTATCAAAAATATTACACCTTAATTTTTTTTCAAAAATCAATCAAATCATTGTTGGTTATCTAGCAAATTTTTAAAAAATCATCAGGACAAAATAAATTCAAGTTTAAAATCAAAAAAAGACTACGAAGATTTCCCAGAACTCAGATATTAAAAAACCCCTACAGGAATTCACTTTGCTTTGAGGGAAGTAAACATGACAGATTTGTTTGGATTGACGATAAATCCTTTGGCTTTCCATTAGCTAATTCAATAAGGGCAGAAAAAAAAACCTAAAAAGTACCACTTCACATTTCAGTGCCTCTTTAAATGTCTTACCATGTTGCTTAAGTAAAGCACAAAGAGGAACTTTATAGAAGAATATCTCCTTTAACACATAAAATGCACTATAGAATCGTTACAGTAAGCAGTAAGGGAAAAGGGAGAGGGGACACCTGAATACAGAAGGAGAATACAGTAGTTTCTAAAAGCTTTCAGTAAAGAACAAATATTGCCAGTTGGAGGCAATATTTTCCTTTTTCAGAAGGTACAATCATTGAGCTCGTGTTCGAAAAATAAAATAAAATCTCTATGGCACCGTTCTTCCCTCCCCCTCTGGTGTGTCCGTATTTCCTTCCTACCAAATGGATGTTTCAGTTGAACTTTCCCCGTGATTTCGCCTCTTCGTCTGCATCTCTTTATAAGAGAACACATTTCCTCTTCGTTTTGATCTCAGGAGGTTCCAGCGCTGCCAGTATGGCCTCATCAAACACATTCTTCAGCCCTCGCTGTTTCACAAGAAGAAGAAAGCAGAGGGTAAAGTCAACCAGACTGATTATATACCGGATTAATCACGTGATGGTGAATTAGCCCCGTACCTGCGTGAGCGCAGAGCACTCCACGTATTTGACAGCTTTGAGCTCCCGAGCAAGTTTCTCCCCGCTCTCAGGGAACAGGGGGCGCTGTTTGTTTTTAGCCAGCTTCTCCACGGTGTTGCTGTCTTCCCGCAGGTCTACTTGCGTTCCCACTAACAGGAAAGGTGTGCTTGGACAGTGGTGAGAAATCTCCGGAACCCACTGGGACGAGAATGATACAAACAATAAAAATGGATTATTTTTTTCTATTAACAAATGGCATTTATAATATCATTTACCAATTATTATGAAAAAATTTTGATTTATAGAGACAAAAGCATCAATAAATACCATTAAATTTAAAAATATAATTAAATGCTGTTGCTGTGTGCAGATTAGTGATGTAAATCACTTTTTTGAAGTAACTTGCTTCATGTAGAAGAACTTTTAAATGGGAATGCTTTTCAAGAGCAGCATTTATGGCACTATGACACAATTAACAAAAAAGTAGTAACTTTTCATTGTTATCACAATAGCACCACAATATATAATAAAATAATAAAATTCTACATGCATATCACCCATCCTTATATTTCACATTTTACTACCCTTCCAATTATTAATTTTGCTTATTATTATTACATCATCACAAACTGTCAGAAAATGCCAAGTCCTGATTTCATTTGGAGAATAAAAAAGAATAACTATCCAATTATTGTAATGATTCTCAATTTTTAAACTAAAATCTAACTATTGCATAGCATACAGTTGCAGTTGACTTTTTGCACTGGAGTTGCAATAGAAATTTTGTTGAATCCTGTTCAATGACAATAAATGCTATTCTATTCTATTCTATTCTAATAGAAAATACTAGGATTGTGAATTTGAAGGCAATCTCATCCAAAACAACTGTAAAAAATCCTTTTATAGTAACAACTAAGAACGAAAAAATAGTTATATACAGTTGTTCAAGCTAATTAAATGTAATTGTTTTTATAGCAATTGTGTACTTCAACAACAGTGTTTAAGCCATAGTTATTAGCCTCTTTGAGATCATAAACTGTTTGTAAAATGCATTTTTACATAAAAATATGAATAGAATAATTATTTATTTTGTCCTCAGTGGGAAAATTGAAGTGCATCAGCAGTAAAGTGGCTGCCAAGTGGAAAGCACACATATACACACAAAAATGAAATTTAAAATAGAAGTTGTAGAGTAAGCTTGAATCAGAGCATTTTTCAGTCTTGTTTATTAGAACACAATGGTCTTTTCTGTCAGTGATTTTAGCATTTCAACCACTACAGATATGCATCATTTTGGACATTTATGGCACTTAAAAGTCCATCCAAGTGGTAAAATGTGTTCTCCATTTGCAGAGTGTGAATAGCTGTCACTTGAAATATAATATCCCGCTAAATATTGGATTCAGGAAGTTGCAGTTGTAAACAATATTCAATATAATGTGCAGGACTAGCTTAAACACACTTGCAACTGCAAAAAACTACTGATACACCTCAGAAAAATAGTAGATGTAAGTTTTTAGAAAATGTGAATAAAAAAGATCTGAATTTGTTTATCTGTGTATTTATTAATTTGTCTAGTACTATAAAGTAAAAAGCAAAGTAAAACTGAAATATTTTGACTCATCCTGTATACCAACAGAGTTATTTGTGAGAACTCAACCCCAGCACAGGCTGTGGTACATTTAGCTCTTTATCAAGTGTAATTGTTGCTAATCAGAAGTTATGGGTTTAATTCCACCACCGACAAGAATCAGAGAGTATATGAGCAAGGCAGTGATCTGCTTTTTTGAATGTGGGACAATAACCTGTACTTTAAACGAACTTTGAGAGGCCAGAAAATGGTAAATATAAGGTTTCTACACATCTTCAATGTGTAAATCTCTCACATTTACACAGTTTTCAGTAGCTATAAGCCAGTTTTATAGCATAAATACAAAACATCTCCATGAATTTAAAAAGATTTTTCTTTCTGGTTGACGTTTTCATATTTAAAGTAGCTCTTCAAAATAAGAAAACATAGCACTTCTTATTTCAGCAACACAATGACACTGCACTTTCTGCAACATTTGCAACTGGTTAGCCTATAAATAACATCTAGCTTGCTGTGAGAAAAATAACAACAATAAAAAGACCACTTGAAACTGCACAATAACCAAAACCCTCCAGTTTACACATTTCAGCAGCTGGTCTGCTCAGTTCCCCCCTACTTACAGTAATAAGGAGAGGTAATAAAACATGATTGTAAACAAACCACACAATCTTGTTTCTTGTTTTAATGGTTTAATATATTGTCTTTGAATTTCCTCAGCTGGATAATGGGTTTTACTGATTTAGAAATAACCAGTTTTTGTCTTAATTTCCATTTTACGTTCTGCTTTTTCTCAAACACCGACCTTTTCTTTGACGTTTTCAAACGACGACGGGGAGACAACTGAGAAACATACGAGGAAAACGTCTGTTTGTGGGTAGCTGAGAGGACGCAGCCTGTCGTAATCCTCCTGACCTGAGAGCATCAAACACAACAAACAAAACTTATTTTAGTTTGAGTCAAAAAAAACTTTCAGAAACCAAACTTTCCAGAGACAATTACCTGCTGTATCGAAGAGGCCCAGCGTGTAGGGCTCTCCCCCAATCATCACCGTCACTGCATAATTATCAAAAACCTAAATGAAAAAAACAAAAGGTTGAGAAATCCCATTGCAGGGCCAGATGTTAATGAGGTTAAACATGCAGAAATATACATGAAGAGCAGCTCTGAAGCTGTGAGTTTACAGGATGACTCATTGTTAAAATGTCTTACTGTGGGCACATATTCTGAGGGGAACTTGTTGGTTGTGTAGGAGATCAACAAGCAGGTTTTTCCAACTGCACCGTCCCCTACAACTACACATTTTATAGTCTGCATCTGTAATGAAACAGAGGAGCAACAAGTCAGCAAGAAACAATAAGACACATGGAAAAGCAGACAAACTTATTGCTGTCTTAATAAGCTTAAAAATGGCATTCATGCCCTCATATAAAGGCAGCACATCAACTTACATTTAACTATTGTCCCAAAAATGTTAGTAAAATATTCAAGTGATATATTCATATTGTTCATCCTCCCAAAGACCAAAAGATTTTAATTTTGGGAAATAACACTTTAGGCTGTTACTGGAAGATATTTTAAATATCCCAAATAATACGCAAAAAGCAAAAAAATAAATAAAATAAAATAAAACCTACTTACAATTCAGTTCATTTAATTTACAACAAACAGCGCCTCAAGGCACTTTACAGAAAAAAAAGTTACTTAAATTCAAACAAAACCATCAATAAAAAGCAAAATTAGTCTTCAGAAATATCAAAATGTAAATTATTCAACTCATTTTAATTTGTCATGTGATTAATTACTAAATTGCCTGATGTGACAGGCTTACATTCAACCATAACAAGTGGTAACTTCTAAATAAGCAAATATATTTTAAGGATTTTTCAACAATTTATTTAAATCAATGGTTCTTGTTTTGTTTTTTTTAGAATTATCTCCATAAATCCACTTGTACCACATTTTGAGAAACACTTTTAAACTGTTTCCATCCTGTACCCATCCGACGTTGTCGAAAACAAACTAGGGGAAAAAATTGTTAATGGTGGAGTAATTTTCTCCACTAACTATTCGACTAGTGGTAAAACAGCAAACTCATGTTGCCAGTCCTAATAAGTGTGAATAATTACAGCAAGGCGCTTACAATTGTTTCAGAATTTTATACCTTTTCCGGACAGACAGTTTTTCCAGGAGTTATACGAGTATCTGAGCCTCCGAGTACAAAACATTTTCCAAAACAGGACAGGAACCCTCAGGAAATAAACTCTTTGCACACATTTCACTCTTGATCAGATCATTTGAAAGACTGGATAGAAATAATCTATATGAAAAAGGATTAGGGCATCTGAAAAACAAAGAATTCTGAGTTTCAACTCAGAAATATGACTGAATTCAGAGTTTCTAATAACCGACTGATAATCAGTTATTTCAGAAACTAATCTCCAGATCAGCTCTTCGCTGCATTAATGTTAAATCAAAAAGAAAGAGCAGAGCTTTCCACATATTGATGTTAGAAATAAAACTCCTCTGGCTGAAAGAGGGACGGATCTGTTAGAATCAAGACCAGAAACCCAAACATTGTCAGCAGTCTGAACCACAAGAATCAACTCTCTCCTCATGTTTGTGCCAGTCCTGTGTGGAAGCAGACAGATCCGAAGGGCTTCCTCATTTTTTCTTTTCCAAACTTTACTCTCACATTTTAGTCAGGTGAAAAAACTCAAAATGTTGTTTCACTGTGAGCTTATGATATAACTTAGACACATTTCCTTTGACATTTCTCTTTTAGTTGCTAGTTTCACATTTACTTAATTTAAAATTTATTTAGATGATTAAAATATGTCATTTTGTACTATTTTTTCCATTTTAGTCTTTAAAATTACATAATTCTATATTGATGAGATCAATGTACATTATAACAGTAATGTATATTGATACTGAGTTGGTGATTGTTACAATCACTAACTCAGTATTACCAAAAATACTTTTTCAATCTTTGACTCATTTCTTGCATGGCTACTTTTTACTTTTACTCGAGTAAATATATGTTGACGTACACAATGTTGGGGTATTCTGCAAACCTCTGTGTAAAACTTAAATGAGATCAAAGAAATTACTATAGTGATTTTTATAAATTGAATCTTTCTCTTGAATAACATAATCCTGCGAAAAACATAAAACCTTAAAGGACAAGTGGTTTATTTCTTTCTACCGTAATACTTCTAATACATTTTCTTGTGACAGTTTAATATTTATACCTTTTATTAGCTGCTTCCGCTGACCTAAATAAATTACAATCAGTAAAAGAAAGTGAGCTTAATCACCCTGACTAGACTTGTTAATGCATGTGGGAACAAACACCACTAATGTCAGAGAGCGTCTTCCGCATATGCTACATACCAAAGATGTAAAAAAAAAAAAAATGGGGGCGACTGTAAAGAGACTGCTTATTAGCTCAATGTGATGAAGCGGATACTGCAAACACTTCCGCTAAATGAGCAAAGCTCCGAGATCTGAAACCAACTAAAACCTGGAGCCAAAAGAGGCGAAATTTAGAAGTCATGTCGTCAAAAAAAAAAAAAACGAACAACTATGGCTAATAAAACAGAGTGAGGTTTCACAGCGATTGAAGATTACATTAATTAAATTTAAAACATAATTTTTAGTGTCGTTGTCCCACCTTAATCACAAAACAATCCTACTAACGAGAGAGAAAAAACATGGTAAACTGGGACAGAGGTGACAATAACTTACCTAAGGTGACAGAAGAATTAAAATGAATAAGAACACAAGGTAAGGCTAACCTACAGGAAACTTTCACAAACTCAAAAACCGCTGTTCTGACATACACAAGCTTCTTCTCCCTAAATACTTTACATTTCTCGGAGTCGTTTATACATACATCCGGGTCTCTGGCAAACAATAAACAACCTATTTTTATTTCTCTATTTTTTGTTCAGCTTACCGTTTTTCTACCGACAAGTTAGGCGTTGGTTTCATCCGGGTTTGAGGGTAGGACTACTTTGTGCGCAGCCGCAAACCACAAACGATTAAGTTCTTCAGAGGAACTGATGTACTGTCACCTACTGGACATAAAGTGCATTACAATCTACAAATCAAAATGTTTTATAATACAACCACATTAAAAATTTATTTTATTCATTCTTTCAAAACTTCTAAACTTGACCTTTTTTCTTACCATAGTATTTCGCTTTATAAGCTTTTTTGCGTATCTTTCCTATTTTAAATGAGGAAGCTATCGCATTTCGTCTTTTCTTAGCGTCTTATTTATTTATTTATTTATTTATTTTGCTCCATGCATGCAAACTGTACATTTTTAGGTCTTAAGAATGTTTTGTGCTCACAATTTCCACACTTTTTCCTTCATCGATTGTTAGTTTTTTTTTTTTTTTTTTTTTTAACACAGTAATATTAGATGTAACGACTTTATTTGATCAAAATTTCATCAAAGTCTTTACATTACTCGGTTGCTCCGTGTGACGTTTTTCCAGATGCACTCACCTTTTCGTTTCCGGCAGGTGACACCTGTGTTTAAGGCTCGAACTTTGTGCACAATCCGTACCGGGGGCGCAGCCGCGCATCACACAAGAACAGATACACCTCCCTTTGTGTCCAGCAGGGGAAGGTGTTTCAACGTGGAATTCAAGCGTTAGTTTGTGTTTTTATTTTACTTTAAAATAAGAAAAACTGAAATTAATTAAGTTTCAGAACATAATTTAAGGCTTAAAGTGTAATTTTCATATTTACAAAAGGAGCTTACAAGAACAAAACATGATTTACAATGTACAAACCCCAAATTTTAGCATCCAAAATACAAGCAAAAAATAAAAGCTATTTTTCCCCATCTTTAATGCATCATTTTTTCCAGTCCAAGTAAAATATAATTCTTAGAGAGCAGATTTTTTTTTAAAGTGGACCACCCATAAAAGTGTGCACAGCCTTACTCTAATTAAACCACATTTTTATTTTCTTACGCCTGAATGAATGAATCTTCTCTACAATTGTGTAGCCTACTGATCCATTTAGAGAAGTGTTGTCCAAACTTTTTGCCACGGTGGCATATTTTAAATTAAAATTGTAGTAACAATTTAATTCATTTAATTTTTACCAGCTTAATAATAAACTAAACAGAATATTTTGTGCAACATGCTCTAGTTTGTGTAGAAAAAGGATCACTAAATAACTTTAGAGCTGAAACAAAGACTCACAGGTTTGAAGAAAACAAAACAAAAAACACCAAATGTCAAATTCTTCAGGTTCACCAAGTTTAATAAATGGACCAAATATTTTAGTAAAAGTCATCGGATGTCGACAGTCCCATTTGCTATTAAGTTAAATTGAAAAACAAGGTTGCAATCGAGGGCTGTGCAAAATCATTCTCATGGCCTCAAATGGCCCCTGGACCTCACTTTGAACACCCATAACTTAGAGGCTCTGGAAACCTTTGCAGGTGTTTTGAGTTAATTAGCTGATTAGGGAGTAATAAAATGAGCTTCCAATGTTTAACTTATTCACAATATTCTTTTTTTAAATTAAAATCAATTAATAATGCCTAAAAGACTTGCAGTACCTGCTGGCAACACAAAAGGGCAGAGTTGAGGTTGATTTATCAATCCAACTGGGAGCAATAACACAGGTGGGAACATGTAAACACACAGGGGTAATTAAGGAACAGCTGGAAATAATTACAGAAGAAGGAGGCAACACATGAGACAGCAGTAATGCACCTGAAGTTATTTTCCCAACCACCATAAAACAGAAGGAGACATGAGACAAAGGGTGAAAAAAAGCATAAAATAACAGATGAAACCATCAGTCATAACCCTACATTCAAACTGAATATAAAAAATTAACTCTTATGTGGTAATTTATTCACAGGTAAAGGAGGTAATAAAAATGTCAAACAAAAAAATGTTTTCTTTGGTCTTGCTTTTTTTTTCGCCACAAAGAAATCTCTGACTTTACATCACGTCAATCAGGCACATTTAGATTAAATTTCCTCACATGCTGACCATATCTGCAAACAGAAACAACAGCTGAGGCGCACAGGATTGGTGCTGCATTTGCTGGCAAATAATGGGGCTGATATCCTGTTCTTTCTTGTTCTTAAGTTTTAATATTTTAAATTCCTCCTAACTATCCTTTTTTCTGAACTACTTCCTTTCAGTTCTCATTTACTACCTTGAATGTCATCAATTCCCTTCATTTCTTCCATGTCCTCTTCTCCCTCTTCCTTGGTGTCCACCCTTCAAAATCCATGTCTTCCTCATTTCCTATCTCCATTTCCAACCGACCCATTCACATACTAGTTCATGCCCGAGTTCACCTTTTCCAAATCCAATATATTTCTGTGTTTTGTTTTTCCCGCGCTGCTCCAAGTCCTCTTTCACCGGCTAAATCCAGCCGCTCCACTCAGGACCAAACATCCTGAGCCTGCTCCTCTTCCCAGCTGTTCTCTATTTTCTCCTCTGCCTGCGTTTTCCCTCCAGCTGTTCCTCGTTTCTTGATTAGACCTTCTGTGTAAAGACCGGTCAGTTCTCTGTTACCTTGTTGGTTCCTTTCTGTTCTGTATCATCTGGTTTCCTGTAAGCTATTCATTCTCCTCTCTGTTAAACATTACAGTTATGAGATGACTGCAGACTCCTGTCTGCATTCTGGTCTGATTCCTGGACATATAATGACAAACACTTCAAACTTCAGTATGAAGCAGAATTAACAGTTTATTTAAAAGTAGCTCTCGTCTGGTCTCTAAGCAAATTAAAATCAACCATAGAGCCTCTTGGTAGCTCTGACTATCTTTTTGTAAGTTAATTTTTTTTAAAGTTCTTTCTGTTACATTATGATTTTCTTTACATCCAAAATAACTATAAATTCTTCTATCTGCGTGATTTTCTAATGCAGGAATATATATTAGAAAATCAATACATACACCTGACTAAAATGTCATAAAAAATGTGTTATTTCAATTATTTATTTTAAAAAAAGATTAATATTGATTCATTACAAAGAAAGATGTATATGAAGCCTTTATTTCTGTTTATTTTTGAAGTGCATGATTTTTGAAGACTGAACTTTCTTACATATTTTTTACATTCCCACTGGAGAATGTAGCTGAACTTTGTGCTCTAGTTTATGGGAAATATTATCTTACATTATCTGTGGCGCATCCACACATCACAAAAGAAACAAACACTCCTTGTCTCATGTCCTGCAGGAGAAAGTGTTTCTGTTTTGCAATGATAAAATTGTAATACACTGACTGAGTTTAGTAGTTGTGAATTTAAGCAATGCACAAAGTATTTACTTACTTACTGATTTCTTCTGCTTTGGATAGATTCATCCATTCATCAATTACAGCAACTTATGAAGGTCCTGCAGCAGCAAATCAGACCCAGACCATCACACTCCCATCTGCATCTTTGACCATGGAGTGTGGCTAGAGAAAACTGAACACAGCTGCCAAATATGGGGTTAATAAAATTCCTGATCAATCAACAAAAAACTGAATTAATCTTTATGAGCGCAAACACTTAAATTTATTACAAAGATGAAAAAGGGGAAATTAAAAACATGAATGAGAGAGAAAACAGTGATGGCACTTTAAACTTGGACTGTTCATCAACTGATCAAGAATTTTGACAAACTTTGTTGTAATTCTTCTCTGCCAGTTTTCTCAAAACATTTCAGTGTGTTTTATATAAGGGGAGCATGCAGCTTGATCCAAAAGAGAGAAGTTATCCTTTTTCAGATGGGAGTGTTCAGTTGTGGTGTCAGGGTCATCGTGAACGTTTACAGAGAGCGGCTGCACTTCAACGCCTCTCCAAACACTGCCTGAAGCTCCATGAAACATTGGCCAAATCTCCTCCATTATAAAACGGACTTTATTTAGGGTAGTGTAAGAAAAGAATAAACAATGTTATCTACAACTACAATAAATGAAAAACAACAGAAAAGCAAACAAAAGAACATTAAAGTATATTTGCATGTTCAAATGAGTGAGTAGAAGTACGAATGTATTTTTACACTCACTCCTCTTACATCAATAGCATCATCCAATAAATTGCAATTAATATCTTGTTAACATAGCAGTAACGCTGAAAATGATCAAGACCATTTCTTAAAAATTGTCGAATTAATCCATGTTTTCACTTTGGATAAAACTTCTGTCTCCATTCAAGTTTGTTTTTCTTTTGGTCTTTTTTTGTAACTAAATGTAAATTTGAATATAATTGAAAAGTTTTTTGTAGTTACTCAATTCATCAAGAGAAACACATTAAATAGACTAGTTACATAGACTGATGTTGTCAAGCCTTTACATCTGTTAATTATGATAATTTTGTGCATAGAGCAAATGAAAATCTAACATTTAAAAATAGAAATATTACATCAGAACAATAAAACCTTTCAGTACATGTTTTAAATTTTTTAACATGTGAACTTCAGACTAGAATCTGAAGATGTCATATTCAGGTGTGATTGTGTGGTAGTAAGGGTAAACTGTAATTCTTATAATTCCATTTAAACAATTAGTATTTTCTGTTCAGTGCATTGACATGTTATGGACTAGCAATATGTAAACAACAAACTGAAACGAGCTTCTAGTTTGAATAAATTAGTGCTTTTATAGAGCATTTAGGATCTTTTTCTACAATATATCACAAACCTGTTTAAATAATGTCTAATTATTGTGAAAGGTTTCTTCGGAAATGATGTATTTTGAAAAGCAAAGGAAGTCACCTTCGTTAGCTTCGATGCTAGCTTGTTAGCAGCGGTGTTTTCCTTTGTTACGGGTCGGACTTCCGTTTTCAATGTCTGCTCCGGGTTTCTGGAAATTACTGTCTAGTGACAGTTTCAGCTAGAAACCTCGTCGAGGAAGAGATACAACTGCTGTGTCGCTTTCCCCGGGAAGCAGCCGGGCTAAAAGTCCAACAGCTCAGCCCGACCTGAAAGTGAGACTGTCACTCTTTCTCTACGTCTCTTTAACTCAAGTTAGCTGGCTAGCATCAGCCAGCTGAGTTAAACAGCTTAGCATGTTTCGCTTCTTGA